CTTGTTTGACTTAAGTGTCACTGACTTGTGTGATGATCTTACCTTAAACCTTGAATGAATAAACTTTTAATTTTTTCGATTAGTCTAATTGATATAGAAAGGTATCGTATTGACACAATCATAGGCAATTTTTAAGAAAGTGAGACAACTTTGACATATACCTCTTATGTGGCCTACCCCTGAATGAGTGAAAATCTTTTGAACACTCTTTGAGTCTTACCTCTTCCTCGAAAAAACATGATGAAAGCTAGACCTTACGTTATCACCTATAACACTTTTGGGATGTTATATAATTGAATAGCCTACATAGGTCAAATGCCTAAGTTAGGGTGTGGTAAAAAGGAAAAGAAGAAGTCAACCAGTTCAACAAAAGTCTCGTGAAACCATGGTATTGTAGAAAATGTAAACACTCCATATAAAAGAAAATGGAAGAAAAAGAAATACAGAAGAAAAGAAATGAAATATCGTGAAATAATGGCACAAAATGAAAAAAATTGGGTTTCAAAGCAATCCATGAAGGGAAATGTACCGACACGAGCGCGCAAGTTGTCACATGGAGTGTGATACCCCGAGAAGTATTGACACAAGACTCTCGTATCATTCACTGCACAAAATACTCTGAAATAAGTAAAATTTAAAAGTTTGTTCACACACAAAGAAAACTTTCATTAATATGCAAGCGGAAGACTTTTTTAAAAATAACATCCAACCTTTACAATGTCTCATTAAACCATCTAATACTTTGAATGTACAACATTGGGACTAAGCCCATACAGGACTTAAAATAAAGACATAAAGGAACATGTGTGTCTTAACCTTGAATCTATGAGTACTCACCAATATTTCATATGCAACCCTTAGAAGACTATCCATCATTCATGGCATACTACAATTTCCAATTCCCTACACTTTAGTTTAAAAGGGAAAATGATGGGTTAGCACATTGACGGCAATAAGTATGGAAGCGATGCAAAAACCATGAAAAGGGAAATATAGTATTGAACATGTGTCATGACCCGAGAGCACACAAGAAGATAAGGAATTCTCGAATTGTACAATGGCGTAATTGACCTCTCGGAGGTCTTGTACAAGCCCTTAGACATCATTCATTGCATACATATATGAAAAGTACTGCAGAATTAAAATTGTTCACACCAATAATTGTTCAAAACATATTTCATGTAAAATGATAGATAACACTAAGTCTCATCATATGCCAATCTTAGAACCAAGAATACTTAGGACACGGTCCATACAATCGACGATAGAAAGCTAATGTCTATTACAATGCTTTCAATAAAAGAAGACAATAGTGTCCTCGAATAGAGTGAGGACATACCCCAACTTTGCTTGAACGAGAACTAGATTCCAAGCTTGGTTCAAGACACCTCTTACTTGCTAGCGACACCTTTAAATATAAAAAAAAGTATGGAATTAGTACAAAGCATGCCCTAAGTATGGCATAATGCATAAAATCATGAGAAACATACATTTATGAGAAACATGCTTTTTTAAATTAAATTTAGTAGTATAAGAATAATAATAACATTTAATCACCAATCATCACATATAGAACATATTCCAAGTTATATCCCATTTATATGAAACTACAGTAAACATAAAGTGATCTCACAATAACTTTACAACAAATTTAATGACTTCCAAGCCTCCCTTCCAAGGTTATCCTAACACTCACTTAAGTAGGACAGAAGAGACCGCCCATACACCCTCTTCAAGTCTACCTTACAACCCTCAAAGCTTCCCTATAAAAGTATACATTCATTAAACCTTCATAACTTAAGCCATAATCATTATTAAGACAATTAGAGTTCATTTAAGAATTTAGGGACTTCATATAATGGTCTTTGAAAATACGAAGGGAACCCATATAATAACATCTTTAAAGCCTAATTGTGCAATGTCAAGATAATGTCCCATTCCACTACCTAAACTTCATAGAACTCACCAACAATGGTAGGTGTACCATATGATGAGAATAGACAATAACTGAGATAGATCATACTAGCTAGTCATGGAATCAAGATTCATGAACCTACTCCAATGGAGGGTGTTCTAGTTGCCAACGGTAGAACTAGGACACATCCCATGTAGGCCCATGGTTAAGGAATATCAGCATCTTCTTCGTACTCTAATCTCCTTCATAGCTAGAGCTACTACCCAAGCATACTCTCTTGGTGCTAGCCTTTGTGCTCATAGAGTAATTCCATAAAAGGAATGTATGAAGAGGTCGAACATCTTATTCATAACAAAATCATAACATACCCTACCTAATAGGGTCCCCATATGGAAGCCTACAATGGCAAAGAGGATAGTTCATTGACTTTCGTAAGGATGATTTCATGTCGTTCCAGCCAATCAACGCTAAGTCCATCACTTACCCAAGAAGGATACCATTACGGCTTTCTACTTCAAGGATATCTTGACCTTACTTCTAACAAGGTTTCACATAATGACCTTGTTTTCTATCTTTAATATCATATTTAATTCATTCATATACTTTATTGACAAAGGTGTTTTACCCTACTAAGTCAAGGTCTCATATTCACATTCTTCATGTATCAAGTGAGGGATAAGAGTCTACCAAAACAACATACACTTCATTATCATCTTAACAAATGTACAATATCATTCAAGTAACATATAGGGTCAACTAGGCACTCACAAGTCACCCTAAACAATACTATAAGACATCAATGTAGCCCATCTCAACACTCATGCCAATTAAGAAGGTTCACCCTTCAATAGAAAGCATTCACACAAATGGCATCCCTATAGATTATTATTATCATCTATGTTCAACTAAGGGAATCCATACTTCACTTCATACATACACAAAAACTCACATAAGCCTTCACAATGATCACATAAACAAGCCAGAACATGATAACAACATAATATATAAAGTAATACCGATGAGACCATATCAATAACATGTATACCAAATAAGCACCGCCACCATAAGGTGACCATAATAATTGTCATCGTGATTCAAGACCTTTACTACATAATATAGAGAGAGTTAGGGCAGCATACCACCAATCCAGTCTCACTTCTTCAATCCATAGTAAATTCACCAACTCAATACTCAAAGGCTCTTACCAATAGCCATGATCATCAATTCAATACAATCATCTCAATATAAAATAAATACAAAGTAATACAATATGATTTCATCAATTTAGGAAAGCCTACATACAATTATAAGATAATTCTTTCATAATTCAATAACCCAAAGTAAACTACACATGAATTCACTAGTATAGAGACATAATCAAATCACTCATAATAGATATAGGATTGCATGATTTGCTTGGGTTAATAGCTTTTTTAGGTTAAACCTATAAAATTAACATCAATACAATCATAATACAATGATTCAAAAATGTTTTATGCAATAATTTATGGCTAGATTACAATTTAGAAGTTCATGTTTAGAGAAAGCTTTAGAAAATCACTTTGAAGTTTGTCTCCTTGAAGAAAATCGATTCAAGGATGAAGTACATACCTTAATTGATGCTAATCTATGAAAATTGAGAAGAATTGATGGAGAATAAATCTTCAATCTCCAATATCCCTTCAATCTTCAGTGGAGTTCTAGAGAGTTCTTTAGGTGTTTTGGGTTTACATTTTTGAATTAAGACTTGAATAGGGTTTCTAGACTTATAAATATATTTAAAATACTTGAAATACACCTAAGAAATCATCCAAATAATTTTAGGAAATCTAGGTGAAATACCCAAACTAGCCTTGGGCTGGCCGAGATATTACAGGAAATTGCAGACATCATCAAAGGCCACCCATTGACGCCTCGTAGCCCAACCAACGGACCGTCCTGTTGTTTTGTGGGTTAGGTCAGAGGATGTCCAAATGGGATAAGAATATTCCAAAGCCTATGTTTTTATCTACGCCACTATCGACGGGTCGTCAACCAGCCTACTTTGCATTGATTGCCTCCGTCATTTGGGGCTGCTTTTGACAACTTTTGTATCTTGTGTTGGGTACTCCTCAAGGACCCTTTGGGATGGTCCTTAGGGTGTTTTTCCCCGATGTTTCCAAATCAAATATACTCATGCACATGTGAAGAACCCCTCACATCAATGTCATCCAAACACAACAGGTAAAACTTGATGAAGCACACTAAGGCACAGTATGACATTTCAAGGCAAACCATTCGAACGTCATGGACGATCTTGGACATTTGACCTCCAAACTTCACCAAACTTTAGGAACTACCTTTTACCATCATTATATAACATTTTAGGACTTTAGAAACTCATGAAACACGTGTTAGTCTCTAGCTTCACCTAAGTCGTTTTAGAGGTGTTACATTCTCCCCCACTTGGACAACATTCGTCCTCGAATGACACTTGTTTCATTTTAGGAACTTTCAATAGATGATAAATTCAATCATGAAGCACATAACCATACCATAAAATAGACAATAAAATATTTAGGAGGAACACCAATCTCACATAATCAAGAGACTCAAAACACAACAAGAAAATAGAACTAATCTATTACTCATCAGGCAATAAAAATCGCATTCTTCACTTCATATAAGAGGAATACCTTCTCTGCATATTACCTTGCTCGTATACATCAGTTATATACACATTATAACGCTTTTATACAAAAACACAATTTAGTCAAAATTCCAAAAAAATTTATAATGAGCTGCCAACATGAAAGTGAACTATGCTCCAATTTTTCAAAAATGCATTGTTAAGCAATTTATAATGAAAATATGACAATATGAGAGATAAAACTATATAAACTTAATTTAAAACATAATCATAACTTCATGTAGTTCATAATGCAAGGAAACAATGAAATTCAATTTCAACAAGACCTCCTAAACACAATGCAACAAGCAAGATGCTACTATGACATTCTGTCTCTCAAGATTGATTAGAATAGAATAGAAGAGACAAAAAATCACAACTCTACTACTCACCATACTTTCCTCACTTAGAAGGAAATCATAACAACTTACGAGAGAAGTATAACGTACCAACATCATCATCATCATCCGGACTTGTTCCTTTAGCCCGGAGTGCATAGAATCGATTCTTTCTTGGAGCATCATCATCCTGAACACTTGGAGGATCTTTCTTTGTATCCTTTCCTCTAACCACAATAGAAGGAAAATCCTTCACCTTATGTCCATCCTCACAACAACTAAAGCAACCATTGTTACCGGCTAAAAACTTCCCGAGGTATTTCTTCCCACAAGTGATACAAGTAGGTTTATCACATTGAGAACCACTACCTCTCTCAAATTTGACCTTAGGAGCACTAGGTCCATCTTGGTTGTGATCCCTCTTCTTAAACCTAGGTTGGAATTTATCATTGGATCCACCCCTCTTTAAATTCATTGAGATCCTACTAAGTTTGGATTCCTCATTGGATTTAGCATACACCATAAGCCTAGAAATATTCATGTCACTATGGAGCATGGTCGTACGACACTGTTCTTCCACAAGGTCGGCAACACCGGTCACAAACCTATTCATCTCATTCGTTGGGTAATACATCAAGAATGGAGAATACCTACACAAAATATTAAACTTCAAAAAATACTCCTCAACACTCATATTACCTTGCTTGAGGTTAATGAACTCTTCAACCTTCACCTCCCTCCTCTCACGAGTAAACTACTTTTCTAAGAAAGCCTCTTCAAGATCTTCCTACTCTTGAGACCCACTCAAGAGGCCTATTATATTTCCATTGAGTGTACCATACTTGAGAAACATCCCTCTATTGGTACGAGGCTAACTCCTATATCTCCCTAAAAGTCACTCCCATGGAACTCAACACCTAATACACACCATCAATAAATTCTTGGAGATCCTCTCCCACCTTAGAGCCAACAAAGGTAGGAGGATTCATCCTAACAAAGTACCTCAATCTAGAGGTCATAGTACTCTCCAAACATTCATCCTAGTCCCAACATATCTAGTCACATGAGTATTCATAGCTTTGGCTAGGCAAAGTAAAGCATCCATAATCTCCCCATTATTCATCTCCGGAGGAATCATGGGTACCTCATCTCCTTGACCCCCATTAGGAAGTGGACCACCTTGCGAAACTTTTCCATCTTGTAGGACTTGCTCCACTTGGTCAACTTAGGGAGGAACTCCCTCAATCACGCTCTCCTATTCAATTCTTCTAGCGTCCATCCTTCTAGTAGTCATCTTCTATAAACACAAGGAAAAACCATAAGAAAGGACACTAATAACGTTTTACACTTACAACACGTCACAAAATTATAAAAGAAGGGAACTCCATCATTCTATAGTCTCCCGCTCTTGGATGTGTCGTGACTCACATCAATTAACAAGACTCTACTAGACAAGGCTTTTTGAGACTTTTCAATTCCTAAAACTACTTCATAACCTTATGCTCTAATACCAAGTTTGTCACGACCTGAGTGGACACCCTAGAAGATAGGGCATTCTCAAATTGTCGAACGGCGTACTTGAGCTGTCAAAGTTCTTGTACAAGCCCTTATACATCATTTACTAAATACATGTATGAAAAATAAGACGGAATTAAAACTTTTCACATGAATAATAGTTCAAAGCGCCTTTCATGTTAAATGATAGAAAAGACTATGTCTCATCAAATGTCAACCATAGACTTAAGAATACTTGGGACGCGGCCCATGTAATGGAAAATAGAAAACAATGTCTATTACAATAGTTTAAATAAGAGAAGTCTAAAGACAATAATGTCCTCGAATAGAGTAAGTACATATCCCAACATTTCTTGAACGAGTAATAGATTCCAAGATTTTGTCAAGACACATCTCACTTTCTATCCACACCATTAGATATTGATACGGTCAAATTTACTTCTCAAAAAAAGTATAAGCGGTCGTATCATGTAAAGAACCCAACTATGAGGTTGGGGTTAATCCCACGAGGAAAATGATTTAGACTTAACTTTAACCTCCTATTACTTCTATTTAGTCAAGTCCTTCCAAAGAAACAAGTAACAAAAGGGGGGGGGGGTAGGAATAACCGTAATTAGCTATTTCTATGTAAGTATGTAACAGGTTCAGAGATTTGATTTTTATCAAATAATGAGAGTAACTAGTGCTTAAGTGTTCCCCACAGGTTCATAACGCGGTAATTCTATCTATAACAATCCTTTCCTAGTATCTTGCATGCAAAGTGGTAAGTTATGTATCCCTAATTCCTTGGTCCGGCAACTAGAATATTTTTACTCCGCACCTTGGTCTGATTACGTGTGTTTGCTTTACTAAACCTTACCTTTACCTCATATTAAGAACCATAATCGATGTTTGGCTTAGTAGTTACTTCGCACCAACCGACACTAGCCTATTAGATAATGTATACTAAATCTATGTTGATAATACTTTCTTATGATCTACCTCCTTGGTTCGTTAAGTAGAAACAAGGCAAGTTCTAATGCATGCACTTGCTAAAAAGACTTCTACACGAAAAATAATCAATACATGCAAGACACTATTAGAGAATTGTTACACTAGCTAGGTTTTACCTTGTTATTTACCCATGGTTCCCACAACCCTAGTTATGGAGTTTAGTTACCCTTGTTAATAATCACACAATTCATATTAATTAGATAAGAATTCATGCACTTACTTTGATGAGATTGAAGAAAATCCAGAATACTAGTTCAATTAATCAAAAACTTGCAACAAATGATTCCGGAAAATAAAGTAATTTTCACAAAATCCCAAAATTTAACACTTAGAAAAATAAAACAAGAAAATATTCAAGATTCTATCCCTTAAAATGAGGTTTTTACAAGTATTTATAATAATAGAATCCTTACAAAAGAGGAAAATCTATTTAATGAAAATCTGCCCAAAAATGCGTCTGTGTCGACGACTGGAGCGACGGACTGTCGAGGTCACGATGGACCATCGAGGCCTTCCGTCATTCCATACATGAGTCCTTTTTCTGTTGTTTTCATAACCAACTTGTTGTTACCATCGACAGACATGAATGACGATCCATTGCATGCACGACAGTCCATCAATGTCTTCCATTCTTCCATACTTAGAATCTTTTGGAGATGGATACTGGGGCTACTTTCTATTAACATTGACGGATGTACAGGATGGTCCATTGTGGCTATGACAGTCCGTGGAGAGCCTCCGTAGCCCCAAACTTTTTTAGAATTCTCCAACTTCCTTTAGTAACCTTCTTCTTTGTATGACGGTAGCCACCTATGGACCGTCGATGGATACGTAGGTCGTCACTTCTGTCATTTTCATCACAATTCTCCCATGGTCTCCTTTTGTACATATTTCCCGCAAACAAAGAGAAAACTACATTAAAACCAATACAAAAAGTCCTTGACACACACTAAACATAAGGAAAAAGCATAGAAAGTACCATGAAATCACGGTACATCAGATATAAAAAAAAAGTATGGAATTAGTACAATGCATGTACTAAGTATGATATTATGAATAAAATCATGAGAAACATGGTCTGTTTTATTATAACTTCATAGTATATGCATAATGATTACATTTAAACACCAAATATCACATTTAGAACACATTCCAAGTTATATCCAATTTATATGAAATAATGGTAAATATATAGTGACCTCATAGTAACTTCACATCAAACTAAATGACTTACAAGCCTACCATCCAATGTTATCCTAAGACTTTGTGAAGTAGGCAAGAAGAGATAGCCCATACACCCTCTTTAAGTCTACCTTAGCAACCCTCAAAGATTCCCTATATAACTATACATTCATTCAACCTTTATTAACTTAATCCATAAACATCATTAAGTTAATTAGAGTTAATTTAGGCATTTAGGGGACTTCATATAATGGTCTTGTAAAAGACTTAGGGAACTCACACATTAACATCATCAAAGCTTAATCGTGCAATGTCTAGATAGGTTCCATGAACTACCTAAACTTCATAGAACTTCTCCAACACTAATAGGTGTCCCATATGATGAGAATAGGCAATAACCGACATAGACCATACTATCTAGGCATGGAATTTGGATTCATGAACCTAATCCGATGGAGGGTGTTCTACTTTCCAATGGTAGAACCTGGATACATCCCATATAGGCACATGGTTAAGGAATATCAAGGACTTTTTTGTACTCTAGCCTCCTTCTTAGCTAGAGCTACTACCCATGCATACTCCTTCGGTGGTAGCCTTTGTTCTCATAGAGTAATTCAATAAAGGAATGTATGAAGAGGTCTCATATCTTGTTCATAACTGAATCATAACATACCCTATGAAAGAGGCTCCCTATAGGGATGCCTATAATGGCGAAGAGGATAGCTCATTGACTTTCCTAAGAATGATTTCATGTTGTTCCAGCCAATCAACCCTAAGTTCATCACTCAGAAGGATACCATTACAACTTTCTACTTCAAGGATATCTTAACCTTCCTTGTTACAAGGTTTCACATAATGACCTTCTTTTATATCTTTAAGATCATATTTCATTCATACATATACTTTCATGACAAAGGTTATTTACCCTACTAAGTCATGGTTTCATATTCACATTCTTCATGTATGAAGTAAGGGACACGAGTCTACCAAAACAAGAAACACTTGATTATCATGTTAATATATGTACAAAATCATTTATGTATCGTATCATATAGGGTCAACGAGGCATACTCACAAGTTACCCTAAAAAATATTATAGGACGTCAAATAACCCATCTCAATACTCATATAGCCAATTAAGAATGTTTACCCTTTAATAGAAAGCATTAACACGTATGGCATCCCAATAGCCTATTATTATCATCCATATTAAACTAAGAGAATCCATAATTCACTTCATAGATACAAAAAACTCATATAATTCTTCACAATGATCATTTAACCAAGTCACAACATGATAACAACATAATACATAAAGTAATGCCCATGATGCCTTCACAACTATAGCACATAAGCACCTTCACCATAAGTGGACCATACCAATCATCATTATAATTCAATAGCTTTACCACATAACATAGAGAGTTAGGGTAGCATACCACTAATCCACTCTCACCACTTCCATGAGCAGCCACTTCAACCAACTCAATACTCATAAGCTCTTACCAATAGCCATGATCATCAATTTAATACAATAATCTCAATATACAATGAATACAAAGTTATGTAATATGATTTCATCAATTTAGTAAATCCTACAGTCAATTCTAACATAATTCTTTCATAATTCAATAACCCAAAAGAAACTACACATGAATTCAATAGTATTGAGACATGATCAAATCACCCATAATATACTCAAAAGTAGTATTTTATTATTTGCATGGTTTAATACATTTTTAGGTTAAAATACAATGATTCAAAACGTTTTATGCAAGAACCATTGCTAGATTGCAAGTTAACAGTTCATCTTTTGAGAAAGCTTTAGAAAAGCACTTTGAGGGTTGTCTACATGAAGAAAACAGATTCAAAGATGAAGTTCGTACCTTAATTGATGCTAATTTATGAAAATTGAGAACAATT